CAAAATTGGCTGTAAATTTTTAAGTTCACAGTTGAATTAATACAGTCATACAATATTGAACTCAGTATAAACCCTGTAAGACATAAAATTGAATGAGTTGTTGCCCTTTAAAGAAGATCTCAATTTCATTATAAGATATGCTGTTTCCTACATTTTTAACGCTACTAACACATTTGGACATGTGTCTTTAATCTCTATGTATCTGATTATAACTAGTCACAGTTAGTTACACTCGGATACTTAGTACCTGAGCATGAATGCAAAGTCATCAGGTAGATTTCACTGGTAATATTTATCACCTCTACTATTTAACATGAAGTAATTTTCCATGCTTCTTCCTGAATACATCTCTTTCACAAGTGGCTATAAGTTTCTAGGTTCACAGTTGAATTAATACAGTTATACAATATTGAACACAGTATGTCCTGTAAGACATAAAATTGAATGAGTTTTTTAACCTTTAAAAAAGAGGTCCATTTCATTTTAGAATATGTTGCTCTTTGCAGAAAGACTCATTGTTTTTGCTACTAACACTGAGATGTTGGCACATGCATCTCTAATCTGTATGCATCGGTTTATTACTAGTCATAATCGGTTACACTTGGATTCTTGGCGCCTGTGTATGTCTATAAAGTCATCAGGTGGATTTCAGTGGTAATGTTTATCACCTCTACTAATTAACACAACATAAATTTCCATGCTTCCTCCTCAAATATAATACATTTTTTATTTGTTGATTTTTTTTTGGTGTGTGTATATCACATAGAACATCCCAAACCATCTTGTTCAACTACACACCCACTTCCCAGATGGCACTCCCCGATAGCCTTCCTCCCCTGACTAGAGCCCTTATACTCTGTTATCCCTGCTATTGTCTGCTGTGTTGTTGGCACCCCAGCCATTCCCCACTACTTGTCCATCTGGTGAATCTAGTCAGCCTACCTATAGGTCTTTCTTTTAGGAAGATCAGCTGTTCCTCATCTAGAAACAATCAGTTGTCAATATGCCTTTAGATAAGATTGGGGTCTGCTGTTCATTTTCCAAGTTCTATGCTGGGTTACTATTTGGGAGTCCCTTTGGCCACCCTGGACAAAAACTCAAGAGAAGGTATCGCCTGTCTGGCATTGTTGCTTGTTATGTAGCCTTTAGCTATGCATATGGACTCTTAAGAAATTATATTGACCCC